CTCCCAACCAAATCACAATAAAAAGTTAACAAACAAATAAATACGCAAAACAAAAAACAAATTAAGAAAAGAAACAGAAGCACAAATGGAGACAAAGCCCTTGACAGTTTGGCTGGAACTAATCATGCTATCCTGGCACTGATATGGCCCTATGTGCATTTTAAAGGCTTAGGAAGCACCTTCCACCTGAGATGACATCGCTGAAAAGCCACAAACCTATGTTACTGCCAATGGAATTGAGATTTCCTGGAGGGGAATGAATCAATTCCATATAATGTCATTGGAAGGAGCCCATTACATGATGCAATGGCGAAAGCACTCAGATGCTAACCAAAAAGGTAGAAAGATCAGTGGTTCAAACTCATCATTGGCTCCACAGGGATGGGATGGGGTGGGAGACCTGACAATCTGCTCCTGTAAAGATTACAGGAAACCCTAGGGAAAGCCTAGGAAACCCCATGGGGTAGTTCTACTCTGTCCTACTACAGGGTTGCTGTGACACCCGCTGAGAGAGGACTGGTATCACAGCCTTTGATGCACCCTGAGCCAGAGCCTGTGGGTGTGGCTGAGTGCATTCCCAGGCACCTACATTGTCTAACTCTGAAGCAACCTCTCTTGTACATTAGGGAAAACTCAAAAACAAACAGACAAACAAACAAACAAAAAAACCCAACCAAACCAACCAACCGATTGGCTGTCTCCTGTGTCCAACTCATGCTGACCCCATGTGTTGCCGAGTAGAACTGTGCTCCACAGGGGTTCTAAGGATGTGGACCTTAGGAAACTGATCATCAGGTCTTTCTTCCAAGGTGTCTCTGAGTGGGTTTGAACCGCCAGTAGCCAAGATCTTAACTGTGGTTGTGCTACCCAGGGATTAGTATTATGGAACTCCCTGCCGTCTAGTCGGACCCAACTCATAGTGATCCCTCCTTGGGTTTCTGAGGCAGTATCACTACGGAAGTAGATTGCCCAATCTTCCTTCCGAGGAGTGGTTGGTGGGTTTGAATCACTAGCCTTCTGGACAGCAGTCAAATGCCTTAGGCACTAGGCCACCAGAGCTCCCAGTATCATGGAAAGCAGGGGTAATTCAATCATTGCCCTCTAGGGTGGAAGAGCAATCTGTTCCCAGCTTTATTGTTTTCAGGAAGGAGAATTTTTCACCTTGTTCTGTCATTGACTCCCTTCCCTCAGTACACTGCTTTCTTTTCTACTGAGTCTCCTAGCTCAGGGGTCCACACAATCTTTCCTTAAAGGGCCAGAGAGTAAACTGTATAGGCTTTGAGGGCTATATGGTCTCTGCCACAACTACTCAACTCTGCCATTATGACTGTAAGTAACATACCTAGGTAAGATATAACAAATGGGCATATTGTGGATCCAATAAGCCTTTATTTACGAAAACCAGGATGTGGGGTGGTGGTAGGCCGGTATAGGATTTGGCCTGCAGGCATGATTTGCCAACCATATCCTAGATGACCACCAACTGAATGGGACTGATTCCCTAACTATCCAGGGTGCCGTGCCAACCCAAGTCCTATTACAGCTTTCCATGATTCTATCTCCTCCTGGTTGTTAGGTGCCATCAAGTCAACTTCAACTCAGTGACCCTAGGTGACAGAGTAGAACTGCCCCATAGGGTTTTCTAGGCTATAATCTTTAAGGTAGCAGATTGCTGGGTGGGTTTGAACTGGTCACTTCTGGTTAGCAGTTGAGAGCTTAACCGCTGCACTACCAGGGCTCCATTATACTTCCTTTCAAACCCACTGTTGTTGAGTCGATTCTGACTCATAGAAACTCCATGTGATAGAGTAGAATTGCCCCATAGGGTTTCCAAAGCTGTAATCTTCATAGGAGCAGACCACATCTTTCTCCTGGGGAGTGGCTAGACAGTTCGAACCACTGACCTGGTTAGCAGCCAAGCACTTAACCACTGCACCACCAGCCTCCTTTATAAAACTCACTGCCATTGAGTCAACTCAACTCATCACGACCCCTTCTTGGGTTTCTGAGGTGGTATCTCTACAGAAGATGTAATTGGAAGGAGCCCATTATGTGGTGCAATGATGAAAGCACTGGAAAGTAGATTGCCCAATCTTCCTTCCGAGGAGTGGCTGGTGGGTTTGAACTGCTACCCTTCTGGTTAGTAGTCAAATGCCTTAGGCACTAGGCCACCAGAGCTCCTTTATAGGGTTCCTTAAAAGGAGTCATCGGTCCCTCCTAATGGACCTTCCCTATAGTCAACCAGCTGGTGGGCAGCTTTTATCTCGGTGAAGAGCTACTCACTCAAGGTTCTCAGCAGCTTCTTGTCCACACTTTCCTCAAAGTCGCTACTGCAGGGACTGGTCTCTGTGTCCAGCTTGATGTTACAACATTCACTATCTGATGCTGTGAGGAAAAAAAAAAAGTTAACTTTTTTCAACCCA